GAAATGCCAGGAAAGGAAATTGGTGCTGAGTATGTTACCTCTAGGGGTTGGGCGTTGGAACTTGCAGCTTAAGGTGTGGTGCTTGCGGTTTGGGCTTCAGGTATACAGTCTTGGTAGAGGCCACAGCGTGGCGGCGGTAATTTCTCGAGTTGTGTGTGGGAGGATCCTCACAGCTCGTGAAGGGTTGCCCCCGGCAGGGAATGCAGAGCATGGCTTCTTCCGATGTAGGGAGTGCAAAAACCTTGTGTTCTTATGACGAATGCTGAAGCATCGGTGTTTTTTTATGAATACTCTGAATCAGCTTCGATTCAGGTCCAGGCGATTGTGATCATGGCTATGAAGTTTATGAAATTTCAGGTGGTTCCCAGAGAAAGGATCCTGCTGTGACCAGGGTCCTTCGTAAGGCCTTATCAGCGCCCCCGTTTTGCCAAGCTGAACCCTAATCCTAAACTTTGCCCTATCTAAGACTCTTGCGTGACGTCCCTCCACGAGCACCGGCCATTGCTGAACGCAAGACCCCCGAAGGATAGCTTGCACTGCGGAAGCACGACAACGTCGCAAACCCCTAACTCCTTTCTTTCACGGGTATATTTAAACCCTAGATACGTGGTTTGTCCATTTGCTTCTCAATGTTCCAAGCTTTTCGGATCTACCACCAATGTTGCAAGCTTTTCGGTCAATCTGCCACCCCGCCACGAATGGTTCAAGCTTTTCGGTCAAACTGCCATGGTTTATACTGGTCGGTCGGTCTTAAAGATCAAGAAACGCTTTACTTCTAAATGTTTTGGGGTTCTCTGAGTGGGCGGGAATTCTCCTAGGTTCAAACTAGCCTTGCTTCATCGAGTTACCACAAACCCTACACCCTAAACCCCAAACTTTGCCTAACACACCCCCCAAGCCCCGTCCTTAAACCCTAAACCCTAAACCCTAACCCTGTCCCCGTTCGAGGCCTGGGTGAGCATGGCCATCTGCTCGGAAAGAGGCTGGGGGCCGAAGGTCCTCTAGCGAGACGGCGGCATCAGGGCCGATGGGACGTTGGGGGCTTGGTGTTTTAGGGTTTAGGGTTCAGGGCTTGGGGTGTAGGGTTTTGGGTTTAAGGTTTGGGGTTTAGGGTTTGTGGTTTGAGGTTTAGGGTTTGGGGTTTGGGATCGGTTGGGCGGGTTGGGGGAATGTAGGGTTTGGGTTTGGAGCTTTGGGAGGGTTTCGGGCCGCATCAGCCTTGGGGCCTCGCGCCAGTAAAGGCACCATTAAGCTAGCTGTAAGGGCTCAGGGTTTAGGGAAACTTTTGGGTTGAAGGTGTGGATTCTGGCTTTTTTGACTCTTGTTTGGAAGTCGCACTCGACGAATCAAGCGGCACTTACACTCTGCCAAGTCCAGGTGAGGTCTGAAGAGAAAACTGGCAAAAGGGAGGGACACTGAACAGAAGCTCACGTCTCTCCTGCTCATTTTACATGGAAGAAATAAACACGAAGCCGGACACATACCCAGGCCTTTGGGGTTTTTTTTGGAGATTTGGAAGTTTAGAGATTCTGGGTGCACAGGCCTTCTGGCCTAGGGCCTAGAGGCCATAATAAGGGCTTAATAAGGCCATAAAAGAAGCTTAATATGGCTTTAATAAGGGTTTAATATGGCCATAATAAGGGGCTCCGTGGGTCTTCCTAAACCCCAAGGATAAGAAGGCCGGGCACCCGGGCACCAGCTTCATCTGCTCGGGGCAATACCTCTCCTTGAAGTAGATCCTGGAATTCAGGGGTCCGAGGCCTGGGGGCCCATGAAATCTTAAGTCTTCGGGGTTAAAGCCCTCACTTTACGAGAAAGGCTGGAGCTAAGAAACCCTCTATCGCTAGTTGTTTGGGTTTTGTGAGGGCCTGCTGACGGTTGAAGGGCTTGGGTTCTTCAAGGGGCACATCTGCAGCCCGTATTGCGTGGAAGAGTAGCAGGAGCCCGGATTCTGAGTCCATCACTTCAGGGCGTCGACTGGGGAAGTTCCGTTGCCTTCGAGCCAGGAGAATGACAAGCCAAGCACACGCACACACACACACACAAGTATGTACATGTATGTACACATGTATGCTTAAAAATATATATATATATATATACATACATACATACATACATACATACATACATACGTACATACGTACATATGTACATACGTACATATGTATATGTATGTATGTATGTATGTATGTATGTATGTACGTATGTATGTATGTACGTATGTATGTATGTATGTATGTGTATATAGAGAGAGAGAGAGTCGCAAATCCTACCCTAACGAACAACACAGAAACACTACAACAAACGACAAGGACCAGCCGCCACCTCGCCTCTATCCACCTGGGGACACATACTATGCTAGTACTGCTCCCAACACAAGTGTGACACGAGAACGCCTCTTCTACATAACGAACGCAACGGGCTACTATGCTGGTATAGAAAATTACCCATCAGTATGAAGCCATTTAAGTGTTTATCCGCATTCTCAGCCTTCTCAGCATCCGGCATTTCGTTCTTCGCGCTGACAAACCGTTGATATGCACCAGCATTACGGACTGTGCAGCGTTGGTCTTAGTAACATGCCGTATGAGCGCTTGATACTCATGGCTTTCTGCTGCCGAATATGCAGCATGGCCCGTTATACTATACTTATAAACAGGAACCCCAAAAATAGCATAGGTAATTATTTCGGCCCCTGTACTAGTGCCATCAGCAAGGACATGCGACTACAACTTTCTCCCCGTGAGGCGCGAGCCCATCGGCAGGTCGTAGAGGGTTTCCATCTTAGGGCAGCGAGGTGCTTATTTTAGTATTTGTTTATCTCCTCTTTTCCTTCCGCCTGAATAGGTGTCCAGAAAACCATGTTGGTTGAGGCAGGATTCCAAGGAGCCAGCCGTAAAGAGGGGATTCGACCACCACACCCTCATGCTTCACCCTGACCCCAAGCAAGACCGGCGCCCCGCGGAATGTGAAGGCACACTCAGCTTCGCACTAGCTCATACTAAGTCAATTGCTTTAGGGGTTTAGGGTTTGACACTCTTGGTACACTTCTCGATTTGGCGCGTCATCCTTGCGCAGGGGCCATGCTAATCTTCTCTATATCGTTCCAATTTTATCGGAGGATTAGGGTTTAGGCTCCGGCTCCGATTTAGGACTGGATTTGGGCTTCTACGGCCAGGAATCTGGGACTTCTGTCCCCGGCCACTGCTGGTCTACTGCAAAAAAGAGACCTGGAACAACTTCAGAGCTGCTTGGCCTACCCGATTCTTCAGGTCGTTGTCGGTTCGAACTTTCAGGAAAGGATCAAACCTCTGGCGCGAGGAGGATCAGTCGAGCCTTCTAGGGCTCATTCAAGAAACAGTGCAGAGTTTCTTCTGCGTGGCTTTCGCTGTATGGGTCTGTAGGCTGCTTGGCCCTGCTGTAATGCGACATGTCCCCTGTCCCGGGGGCCGCGCATTGCCTGTCGCAAAGCGCCCCACGCTGGATGCCGGATCTGCCTGCCATGTGGGGGGAGGCCTACGCTTCCTCGGGGTTAGGTCTACAGACTTCAAGGGCGTAGGACTTCCAAGTTTGTCTGTGTATGCGTGCATATGTATGTGTATGTGGCTGGGTGGGTGTGTATCCAGAATACCTTTGAAGGAAGGATTGCTGGATGTATGGGGTACCTTGAATAACAACCCTTACATGGGCTTGAGTGCCTCCGGTTTTTGCACCCCCCGAGTGCACACTACCAGGTCGTAGATTTCTGTGCCGGTGTGGGGTTTTTTTGTTCACGCAGGCTGCAGGTGCTGAGCTCTGAACTCAGCTTTGCTTGCATTCTGTTTTTGGCGGGATGGACTCACAGGAACACCGGCACAGCCGTTTGCATGTGAATTCAAGAATTTATGTGCTAGGCGAGCGTCTGCACAAGACTCAACCGTGGAGAATGAAAAATGAATGTGTAAATATTTTTTCAACAAGCCATCCGACAATCCATCCGCTTCCGCTTTGATGCACCGGCTTCTATCGCCTGGTGAGTTCCACCTGCTTCAACAACCCTGAACCCTGAACCCCTTTTTGCCCAATAACCCTAAGCCCCTAAGCGATAACCCTAACATACCCCAATCCCCGTAAGAAATTCCCCATGGAACCCTATTCCAAAAAAAGAACCTTGCAACGCTCCAAAAAGACGCCTCAAATGAAGAAGTCCGGCGCTCTCCCAAAAGGCCTGAGACTCCAAGAGTTGGAAGATTCTTCGGCCGCTGCTCTGCACGTTCTTCTCGTGCTCACCTTGCATCGGGCTGTTGTTGTTGTTGTTGTTCTTTTTTTT